TTCCTTCCTTTCCTTCCTTTCCTTCTTTTTCTTCCCTCCCTCCTTCTCTCATTGAAAAGAGGAATGAACATCTCTAATATTTTCAGGGAGTCTGGCATGTGTAATTGATCCATACCCACCTTGGGGTGTGTTCTGCAGTGCTTCCCATCTGTTCTTTTTCAGTTTTTCCCCCAAATCAGAACAGATTTGGGCATTTCCTTCCCCCAAACCATGTTGCTCCAATCCAATCTTGAGGACTTCCAGGGATGAGGACTCCACGACCTCTCTGGCCAATGTTCTCCCAGACACTCTGGGGTTTTACACCCCACATTATCCTCGTGGACAAACTGCTCCTCACCTCCCTGCTGATCAGAGGAACCCCAATCCCACCATCTCCCAAATTCCCAAATATCCCCCAGCAGTGCCAGCATCCAGAGTCTGTCCCTGCCCCACAGGGGAGGCTCTCAGTAGCCAGGCTCAGGGAGGGAGAGGAGGCTGGGACGATTTCATAACTGAAGAATGTTGTTCCTTGAGGGAGAATCAAACCACCCTTCAGTTTTGCTTCACCTACAGCAGGAGAGGGGGGAGAGAGAAGAAAAAAACCAGCTCAAAAAAACAGCTCAGTCGCATTCTTGTGCGGCAGATCCCCCAGGGTAGGAACATACTTGAGCTCCTACCCTGAAAGAGAGAAGGGGAAAAGGAGAGAGAGAAAGCAAGGAAGCAAAAATCTGGTTTGCAGCTTGGATTTTAAGGCAGCCAGGATCTGAGTGCAGCTCTGGTGTGGGTCAGTGGGGATCCCCATTCTCCTTCAGCAGCTCCTGCAGCATCTCCCCTTTGCCTCACACACTATCTGCACTCCTTTCACTGAAAAGGATCGATTTTAATGCCTCCAGGAAATCCTTTCCAGGCCCAAATCTCGCTGTCTGGGCTGCCCTTGCTGCTGTGGGAGCTCATTGCTCATTCAGGACTGGGCTTGAGCTGTGATTCAGCAGTGCCAAACTGTCACCAGAGACTGGTCCTGTTAAGAGCCATGTTCTGATATCTCCTCTAAAACCAGACTCTTTTCCCCCATCTGCCTTTTTATGGAGAAAGATCCCACATGCTTTAACTAAGACTATATTTATGTATAATTATCTTTTAGCCAGAGGTCCCCTCCTACCCCAACAATTCTGGGATTTTGGGGCAAATCACACATTAAACAGGAATGGCACTGATGAGCTCAGCTACCAGGGAATGGAGATGTCCAGGGCATCCTGACCTGATGCTGTTGAAGGCCACACTTAACCCTAAATCCCTTTTTCTCTTTGTATGTCACCCAGGGCAGAGAAAGAGCAGAAATCCCCCATGCCACCCTATTTATTCAATTATCCAGAATTGAATTTATTCAATTATCCAGGTGTGGATTTTCTATCCCTGGGAGTGTCCAATGCCAGGTTGGATGGGCTTGGACCAACCTGTGGAATGTGGAAGTGTCCCTGTCTGTGGGATGTGTCCCTGCCCATGGCAGGGGGGTAACGAGATGAGCTTTAGGGTCAGGGCTGTGGGATGGGGTTTTTCTCCTCCTCTGTGGTCTTGGGAGTGTATGGGCAGGTGTGCAGCCTCATGGAGAAGCATTCAGACAGGTGCCACTGTTGGTCTTCCTTGTAAATCCCCAGGAAATGGGAGTTTTGGTCAGTTTGGACTACTTGGAATGCAAAAAAAAACAGGATTCCTGTATGGGGAAAAAATTGAGTCTGATCTCTTTCTCTCTACCTGAACTTAATAATTTCTAATATAAAGACACTACAACTCATTTCTGGTTTCCCAGAAGCTCAAATTTCAACTGCTTGACAGTAGAAAGAACCTCTCAGTTGATTTTTTGCAACATTATTATCAAAAGGAAAAATGCTGCAATATTGAAAGAAAAAATACTGTAATATTGAAAGGAAAAATACTGTTATTTTTTTCTCCACCTGTATTTTATGAAGTGGAGAAAAGCATGGCAATGGCCACATGACCTGAAGTGACCACTGAGCCGCAGCTCATGCTCAGCCACTTGCCTGAGAGGCTTTGCAATTTTTAATGTAGTTGTTGTATCTTTCAGTTCACCAAGGAGAAGGGGAGATTTTTGAGTTACCTCTAAAAAGAGGCAGGACAAAACTTTGGGGGATGTAAGAGAAGGACACCCCATCACTGACAGCAGAAAGTGAGCAGTGCAACCTGGCAGGCATTTTCCATCTCCAGCTGAAGTGCCATGCATTGGGAATTGTGCCTTTTGCCTTTATTTTAGCTTTTGTGGCCTGAAGAGGCTGTTCATGCTTAAGCTGGGAGTTTAGAGTCTCTTGGTGCCGCGTGAGCTCCCTTTGAAACTCCTCTGGGCAGAAATATGAACCAATCTCAAGAGAAGTAACACAATTAAAGCTTATCATGGGCCCTGTCTCTTTAAAGGACTTTGGCACATAATTAAGTAAAAATAAAAGTTTCCTCTCTCTCCTCCCCCCCCCCATTCAATAAAAGTAAATTACCTCCAACTATTTAAGCCCGCTGTTCGTTTAAATTTAAAAAGGGAGCCCTTGTCTATCTATTTCTTTCACTCACTCCCACCTCCTTCTGCTAAAGACTGGCCAGGGCTTTAAACCTGCCAGCTGGGCTGAGAAATGGTTAATAGTTATTGTGGAGGAGCAGCTTTTAATGAACTATTGAAGAATGATACATTGATGGAGTAATGGGAGTTTAAGTCTCTCTGTAATGAAACAGGTTCTCAGCGCCGACCCATTGTGGTGTAAATACGGCACGTCTCTCCCACTGTTTGGTCAGGGCTAAATAGCAGAGGCCACAGGGGGGTCTGCTGATGGGGTCTCCTCTTTAGTTAATCAATCTGATTGGATTAGGGTCACTGAGATCCCTAATAATGTCAAAGGTTACGCCAAACTGGATTAAATGCTTTGTTGGAGAGGGCTCGGCTTCTTTCAGCCCCGGCCGGCAGGGCTTGTTTATTAGACTTTAACACTCGTGTGCAGCCTTGGGAAGCCACTCCTGCCCTTTCTGTGTGCACAGGGAGGTGGGAAGGAGCCAGGGTAGGGGTGTCCCATGGCTCTGCACCCATGGGATGAGTCCTTTGAGGATGTGCAGCAAATTCCCCAGCGGACAAATGCGAGCCCGATGGGTGACCAAGGCCCAGGGGCGTAAATTCATTCCGGAAATGATGGTTGGCTGCTGAGCCTGCTCCGAGGCAAATGTCGAGAGTCACAGCAGTGCTGGAGTGACCCTCTGCTCGTGTTCCCCGGGGTTAATCCTGTCTGTGGCCAGCAAAGCCCTGTCCTTTCACTGAATTCACAGAATTCACGGAATTCATGGAGCTTACGGAATTCATGGAGTCCACGGAATTCACAGAATTTGCAGAATGGTCAGGTTGGAAGAGACCTTCAAGGTCATGAAGTCCAACCCAGCCCCAACAGCTCAACTCAACCCTGGCCCCCAGTGCCACATCCAGGCTTTGTTAAACACACCCAGGGATGGGGACTCCACCACCTCCCCGGGCAGCCATTCCAG